CGGAGAGAGCACAAGTGTTGGTTTTCTTTTATTTGCGCTACTTTTTTTGGAAAAGGCTGCTCTTTAATGGGATTTATGACACCTAGAGCCAAAACCTAGTTCGGAAAAAAACGGGGGCGGGGGGGGATCTCTCTCCAAGTTTACCCACCACAACTTCCTCTGACTCGGTAAACGGCTCCCTTTCCTCACATCCACCACTGAAGAAATAAACCAATCGTGCCCATGCCAGGACAGACAACACTGTTTGGTGTCTTTCCTCCGGTGACAATCCCTACCTGGCACATGCCCCTCTACTGCTTTTTCTTCCCGAGGAACTCCTATTACTTTGCGGTCTGGAAACACTGCTCATTCCTCACACAGCAGGGCCATCGTCAACCAAGGTTTGTATTCTTACCTCACGCTAGTCAATATCTCAATAGTAGATACCCAAAAATAGGGTGAACAGATGAACTGATGAATCGTTAAGTCCACTGAAAACTCCTTTACAAAAATCTATTTCCCACGGAGATAATAGGGGTTTCGAATTTACCTGTAAAATAACTACCATATACAGTTGCGAGGATTTTAACAAGACATGTGAAAACCTTACGGTCCAGCGTGTAGCACATCAGAGACTAATTCACTATAGAGCCTTCTCTTCCGTGCCAATTCTGTGCACCACAGACTCGAGAACGTCTCGAGCAACCTTCTTATGAGCGGTATCACATAGCACCAAGATCTCAGCCACGGCAGTGGGGGGGATGCAGGGCACAGGTGCATAGTACCGCGAGATATGCTTGCCATTCAGCAAGTGGGATGACGTACGCAGCCGAGTGACATTAGGGGAGAGGGGACAAGCGTGTCACTGAAGGGTGCAAGTTTCGCAGCTGAAATAATGAGGCTGCGTGTCCCTATTCAATGCGTCTCCCGTTTCCCAGCCCCTGCCTTCTCAGCCCCACATAAAATCCTCACGGTTCCCCAAAGATCTCACGAGAGCTATTACAAAATTATCCCAACCAGAGCCAAGTTGCTTTTAGCTTTTTATTTATTAACAGCGGAGTCCTGTTATACATACTGTTTCAATAATTCTGTTTATGATCTTCAGTCTATCTTTTCTTCACCGAGGAACTGGGTAAGTGTGAAAGAAAAACAAAACAAAACAAAACAAAAGGTCTGGAAGCCTTAGCTGAATCTGTCTTTGGAAACAGAATTAAACATGTATACGTTACTTGGACTCCATAGAACCTAAACTCCTATAAATTACAGCTCAAGCATCTACACGTGAAGTAGCGAATGTTAGGATCTGCTGTGTCAAGTTCCTATCATCCTTTGTGCAAACATCAGTCATTTAGTTCTTGCAATATTATTTGGAGTTTTCTGCCAACATGAAGGGAAATCAAGACACTAGTGACGTAATGGGAAAAACTGCCACAGCAGCCATTTTTTGATGTCTTAGACATACTTTAGTCAACATTTACATAAGCAGTAAACAGCCCACATATGAAATTCCTTGATGTATCCTGTTAGGCATCCTTACCTCTGAACTTGGCATTACATACTGCCTATTTACGTTTCTGCTAAAGAAATCAGTGAATATTTTACTAATTATCATCAGTTAATCAAGCCAGTGGAACGTAGTGATGTTAAAACCATTGCTAACGTCTACTCCCAGATAATCGGATAGACTTCACATTATCGAGAATGGCTAGGATCTTTGGCGAGGCACCCGAAAGGGCTGGTAAAGAACGCTAATCCAGTCAGTGGTACAGGGGTAACATGTTTAAGATGCGCTGGTGTGTGTGGAGGGGAGGTTCTTCTACAAATACGCTTGCTGAGGGGGCTGTGGCAATTCCCCGGCCGTGACTCAGAGTTTAACACCCTGTTCTCGCCAGGCATTTACTAATTCCCTGTTGGTTTAAAGAGACAGCTGATCAAATGTCTAATATTTGGGGTCTAGACCTAATGTGCATGCATTCTTGTCATTTGCTTTCAACTTGCACCTCTCTAGGTTTCTATCAATTAATTTTAAGCATAGTCACAAATTTATCTTCCTTTTCTTGAAGAGTCTCCCAGTTCCTAGCCTCTCCAGACTTTGATTACAAGAAGCTCAATTCCAGACATGGCCTTTTTCATCCTAAGTGACTCATCTGCATTTCAAACTCTCCAGAACCCTATTACTACCACTGGGTTTGTTACTTTTGCCAGAAAAATTAAGTCTTTTTTTTTAAATTTCAAGACTTAAATTTCATTTTAATAACAGCTTTTATCCCAATTAGGCCTATGTTTGCAGAAGTTAACAAAGAAAGGGGTTAATCTTACCGAGAGGACAGGTATTTCCTTTAGAAGTGTCACGTAGTGACAATCATCCCCGTAATTATTTTCCAGATGGTAAGAATAAAATTAGATGTGGAGGCTATCCGGATTTATCTGAGGCTAACACCCTAAGGACGCAAGACCAGCACGTCCTGGGAGTTAACCACCTTAGGAATTGCGATTATACGGCGGGGGGCCCCAAGCATGAACACATGTGTGCACGTCCAATGGCCGGGTCGTCCCTCACCCCTCACACTCCTCACAGGGGAATCCGCAAATAGAAATCTCCTCCGGCAAACTCTCCCTTGGGGTGGGAGTGGGTGAGGACAGTGACAGGAAAAGTTCACCTTGGCATTGCTATGTGGCGGTGAAAGTTAGGACACTGTAAAGATCATTGTAGTAAGTATGTCCCTTTCTGGGGCGCCTGGGTGGCTCAGTCAGCCAAGTGTCGGACTTTGGCTCAGGTCATGATCTCTGATCTCACAGTCCGTGAGTTCGAGCCCCGCATCGGGCTCTGTGCTGACAGCTCTGAGCCTGGAGCCTGCTTCGGATTCTGTCTCCTTCTTCTCTCTGCCCCTCCCCCACTCGCACTCTGTCTCTCTGAAATATAAACAAACACTGGGGAAAAAAACAAAATAAAATATGTCCCTTTCTTTAGCTATCAAGAACACGTTCCCATATCCACTCACAGAACCAGTCTTTTTCATTTTCCCCATCTCTCCCGATTCCCCCCACATCTTCAACCTGGTTCTTCAACCTGGTTCTTCAACCTGGTTCCCCCTGCTGCCCATGGGGGTGTTTCCACCAAGTTCAGAGGCAGTGGTACAGCTTCTGCTTTCTTCTGTGACCTGCATGCATTTGTAATTCTTACCCTGATCAGACCTGCTATTACTGGCCACCCAAAGCCTTTTCCCTGGATCTGATCTGACATCACACGTCCCGGGAACTGACAGGAGACACATAGGCTACGACCAACGACGGAACGAGTGCTGTCACCCGCGCGGCAGTGTTACGTGCTTGTTGCTGGTCCTGAGATAGGAAGAGTAACCTCCCTGGAGAATACCTGTGCAGACTCAGGTCTTTGGCTGCCCTCTCCACTTATATTAATATGATTTTCGTTCACTTTGACATTGGAGCGAGAAAGCAGCGAGCGATGGGAAGGAAGTACATGGGGAGGGGGGAGGAACGGTCTGTGTTCACACTCTAATGGAAGAAAACTGACAGGCCACTTAGGGTTGGCCGAGCTGTAACATATCCACAGCCTCATCACTCTGGAGGCACATTCTGACATAATAACAAACGACTGAGAAGGAACCGCTTTTATCTAGGTCAGAATGACAGACCCCCGAGTGCTCGAGAGCTTGGGGGAACCACAGTCTGAAACGTGAGGAAGACAGCAATCTGCACAGAGATTTTCTTTCATCAGGGCTGGGCGCTGCCTAATGGTTTTCATCCAACGCGTTGTAATCACTCCACGGGCTTATAATGGCATGGCGTTTTGATTTCGGGGCCTACCAAAATAAAATGAACCACATCTCATGACGACTACATTTATAATAAGATGCAGATGGTAAAGGAAACAGATGCCTCTGACATCATCTCCCATTTGCCTTCAACTTTTGCAGACACTGGCAGTCTGTAAACTCATTCAAAGGGATGCAAGAGAGTCAGGCAGGTTTCCAACTCATTTCCAGCCTAAAAAAAAACACTGGCAGCATGGGCATGGCTTTGAGTCGTACAGTGATCGTTCCACAAAAAGAAATCTGATTCTAAGTCTGTGTCGGGCTTTAACACAAAATGAATCGTCAGGGGGTGGGGGTGGGGGGAATCCCCACAAACGTCCGGACTTCCACAATTAATAACCATCGACTGGTTTGCATGACAGTGACAGAAAGGACAGTGGGAGTGGTGGGATGGGAACAGCTGTAGCTCCAAGGAGGCAAAGAAGAGAAAAGAGAGTTTTAAACAGACAAGCAAGTCTAAAATACTCTCCCAGCCCTTGGTACCCAGGTTGTTCAAAGACTGACTCCTTATTACTTCTGAATAAAAAACTTAAAGGAGGCTTTTCAGGTCACTGTTTCTGACCTCCAAAAAGAAAAAAAAAAAATGCTCATTCTGTATTTCCATCTGTATTTTCCAGAAGGAATCCTACAGTTACGATAGGAGGTTTCACCATTTCCCCAGTGATAGCACTGAACATTATACACAGTTAATTTTTTTTTTTTTTTTTTTTTTGGTGCAAGATAAATGTGTTAGAAGATCTTTTAAAAAAGATAAGGAACTTTTGTAGTCCATCTTGAAAGCAAGAGATGCTTGGGCAAAGCAGCAATTGAAAGGCCTTTTGCAGTGTTTGAGGTTCCCATATAGATCAGCACAGTTACAGGTGAGGGAGAGAGTTCGACGAAAGCCCGGAAAATCTTCCTACCTCCCCTGCCCACCATCCCGTAACTTCCTCTGTGCCTCCGTAGCGGGAACATTGCAAAAAAAAAAGAAAACTTCAGAAACACAGGCAAGGAAAGCAGTGACGTAAAAATAAATCCCGCGAGGCCAAACATGGTGCCTATTTTTAAAATAATCTTTGTGCAAGTAACAAACGGAACACGCGCGCGCACGCACACACGTAGTACAAGAATAAACAAACTCTTCCAGTTCACGTCCACAAACCGCGTTGGCAAGTGTTAGTGCAAATGTCTGCTGACCTGCAGCGTTCAGTCCGTAAACTTTGGATATCCTAGACGCTCCATCAGTGTCCAGCAGATGTTCTCAATCAGTCTAATTTCATCTCTAGGCAAGTTTTGTTTCCAAACATTGGTGTTAGTTGGTGATATTTCCCCTTCATAGGGAAGATAGAAAAGGTTTGTGGAGGTGGCGAACAATATTTGGTTTAAACTAGCAGGAGACAAAGGTATTCCAAGAAAGGCAAAAATCCTTTCTGTGGTTTTCTGAGGAAAATGTACAATATCTTCAAACTTGATCAGCTGGTAGCTGGCGGGCAGCAAATCCGTATTTATTCTCAGCGCTGCTGCTGTGTTTGCGAGCCACAAATGAGACAACAGGGAGACTGCATTTGACTGGGATTTTGATAATTCTTTCCTCAATGATTCGTATTCGAGAGCGTAGCCTGAATTCAAGTTACATTTGCCTTTACCTCTCTCTATCTTAAACAGTTTAGCTAAGTGCTCTGGTACATTCTTCAAAGAGTAGAGACTGGGTTTGCTACTGTACAACATTGAATAGATCCATGCCCGAGGGTCCCTCACTATGTACAATGCCCTCATAGAAGCTCCTAAGACTTCTTGAAAAAAATGGAGCTTTAAGGTCCAGCTCCCGCTGCTTAAGCTGAGCACAGGACGTGCACTTGGGTAATAGACCAGGTGTCTCCTTAAAGCCCTAATATATTCAGCATCTCTATCAAAGGTGCCTTTCATTCTACTTCTTTGTTCGGGCAGAGACTCCCTCCTTTTCAGTTTTCTTTTTTTGTCCTTATTTGCTGTGAAGTATGGGGCCAGTTTACCCCGACTGGGTTCATGCAGATGGATGTTTTGCAAATGCAGTTTTGTGTCTTGAACTAAGGACTGCAACCAGCCGCGGAGTAAACGGAAATGCACACTGTGGATATCTGATGCCTTCCATTCACAGGCATCTACAAACGAGTCGATTTCAAATTCAGTTTCAGGAATATCAATGTAGGTTGTAGGAACTCTGATGTAGAGAAAATCACTACTGTTGAAAAAAAGTTGTTTGAGGATTTCAGCTCCTGAACCAGGAAGTGAGGTAACGACAACACTGGGAAGGTCAGTGTGGGGCCCTTCTGAAGACACAGGCTTCGGGCTGGCCTCGGCCTCCGTCCTTGCCCATTTTGCACAGATGGGCTGCGTGCAGGTGCTCCACACATCCAGCAGCTCAATAAACCACAAGGCAACAACAAGGACTAGGATCCACCGCATTAGCTTTCTAAAAGAAAGGTAAAACCGCCACTGAAAGGTTAAAATCACCAAGCTAATGCACAAAATCAACCCAACTGCTATGTTAAATTTAAATCCAAAGGGGAAAATAACCCTATCTTGTTTTATGGGCTTTGCTATCGCTTGGGTGCCCAAACCAAATCGGGTTATTTGGCCCTGATCAGCCACATTGGCAAAGCCACCAAAACCCAGGTAATCAAATCTTGTCTTCAGGTTGTGGTAGTCGGTTACAATGGACACAACATGTTCGGTATTATTGACGTTGAGAGAGATCTGAAGTCCAGAATTGGAATTATCAACAAATCTGCAGCTGGAAACATTGACATATGGCCCATAAAAGACATATGCGATTCTTGTGATTGTGGATTCCATCTGAAACGTAACATTAACAAATTGAGTCCACCGTTTCTTAAATTCAGCAGCTTGCTCTGCTTCTTGTATACTAGCAATGGGACTATTGCCATGATGATCAAACCAGAACATTCTGTAGTGTGCATCCCATACATCCATCATGGCGCCATTATACCTGTTCATAAACCTATAGGGGATGTACTTAAAATCAATGTCCAGATTATGAAAGAAGGCACTGACAGATTTTATTGGGGAACCGTCCTGCCTCTCAACGTGATCAACGACGAGCAACGTTTGAGAATTTAAGAGAAGCAGAGCACGATACACGCTCTTCAGCTTCATTGCTGAAGAGTAAGCAGACACTGCTTCCCCACTCACAAATAGCATTTCTCCATGTTGAGAGGCAGTAATGATTTCCCCCGCTGCGTCACCAACCTCCTCACCGGTCCACCTGAGCCACTGGCCACACTCTCCCAGCTGACCCTCCCAGGGCTGGTTACACTGGCTCGTAGGTGATGGAGCAAATACCAGCACATTGTTGAGGTGGCTCAGCTTGGGTCCGTAGAGAGCTTCCGAAACAAACACTTGTCCATTTGGGGCAAAAGTGAATGAGTTCTGATCTGGATGTTCATGCCCCGGGTTAAAGCTTCTCCACCCGTCAATCCAGGAGTATGGCTGAAAGTGAACTATGTCGTACACGGCTCGGCCCCCCAGCTTCCCGGACTTAAAGGACACAAAGGTATTGGCCTGTGTGTTTGGCAAGCCAGCCCCATAAGTGACAACACCCCAGTTAGGGAACGTGTGCATTTTCGCAGTACCATACTCAGCAGGAGGCTGTGGGGTGAGCTGGGGATCGTACCAGATGTATTCGGTGTGAAGAGTACTCCACCTCTGGGCAGTGGAGGGGACCATTGGTCCATCTTTAGGTCGGTGCCTTCTAATTTGCTGAGCTAACCAATTTCCAGCTCCATTCTTTAAGATAAACTTATCTAAAAAAACTAACTGGCTCTCTGGACCATAAAACCAATTATAATTGGAATCTGCAATACCCACAGTTCGTTGGAAGCCTGGTAAGAGGGTGGCATAATAGAACCAAAAGTGCATCTTCAACCAGTTATTATCCAAGTTGTTGATACTGAAATGGCGCTGGGCTAGAAAAACGTACTGCATGACTGATTTGGCTGTGTAGCTTCCATAGGCCACACCTTCATCCAAAGAACCATCGACAATATGATTCAAAAGGAACATCGTCTTTTCCATCACATCTACGACGACCTGTTTCCATATGTTTGCTTTAGATCCTTTCTCTGCCCCGGTCACCAAAGCCCCGGTGAGTAATGCTATCATATTAGTAGCTTGGTGATTATGGAGAAGTTGTTTGCCCCACGAACGGACCTTGGAATACTCATACATCTCCTCGGTAACAGCCCCTATTTTTTCCAGGTATTTTTGTCTTCGATGGTCATCCAATAAGTTATATAAAAAGTCAAAGGCAGTGGCAAAACCCGTTAAGGAATGGCCGACAGGCACCTCATCCCCTGGTGCATTCTCCACTAGCCAGTCTTTGTAGCCAACCATCCTGTCCATGTATTCCAAGGCAAACTCAAAGGCAACTTTGTCTTCTGGGCACAACAAACAGTACAATGCTAAAGGAGGCAGATTGTTACCATAAATTTCATTCCACTTGGCAGCAAAATCGGCATGCTTGGGTGGAGGTAGGTAGTATGTGGGGTTGGACAGCATAACTGTTACTGCACTTCTGATAGCTCTAAACAGATGCAAATGGCTTGTATGAGACTTCTGTCTCATGGCCTGGATTTCTCCAGCACCGAAATACAAACTTGGATGAAGCATACTTTTCTTCAGCTTTTGATTGGGCTTGAAATCTTGTACTTTCTGTGTCTTAAACTGATCTACATCATCTGCGAAAACTGCCCAGTCAGAGTAATTGCTCACAGATTCCTCAAAAGTAGAGAAAGCAAACATCACTAATGCTAAAAACAAGACATGTCCTGTAAACATCAACGCCATGATCCATCGGGGAGCTCCCTTCCTTAGGCATACAGGTCACACACAGTGCTCAATGTGTTTCCCATCTGCTTAGTATAAAACATACATTTAAGGCCCCGAAAAAACAAAGACTGTAAATCATATACGCTGTGACATCCAGCTGACATTCGGTTCATTCAAAGCAAGCAGGGTTGCCAAGAAGAGAAAACATACACTATCTGTCTGCCTGGCAGAGCTCTGCTTCCAATACAACTTCAAGGAATGTTACAACCTCTAATGTTTCCATATCGCACACCAAGCAGTGGTATAGTCAAACATACCATGAATTCAGGATTTACTTCCTTTCCATAAATCTAACATGAGGAGTCAAAACACACATTGTAGGGGGAAAAAAAAAAGAATAATCACTCTGAAATCCAAATCAAGAAGTCGTTCCTAGGATGGGAAACCAACACTAGTGATCCCATCACCCACGCGTACGATGCGGGTGAGGGGTGTTTGCGCAAAGGAGTCGATGAACTACTGAAATTCTTGGAGTCGACTTGGTTGTTATTCCCTTCCGCTTTTTACACTTTTGCTTTGAGATTTTTTTCTTCTTCCATTTTTGGGAAAAGAACATCCTCAACAAGTGTGCAAAGTCCCACTTGGCTTTGAAAAACTCAAACTTTCTGCCCTCATTTCAAATCTGTCCTGTTCAGGCTTGCTCATCGCCTATTATGACCCAGAGAAAGTATTCTCATATCTTCTTTTATCAGCTTCATCCGTACAATTATAAAAATCTAACCGCTTCAGCCACCTAGGTGCTTCTTTTCCAATCATGAAGTAACCACCAACTGGGAAAGAAAACTCCCCTTTCACCGAGAGTGACGGTTCTTTTCTGCTCCTTTTTCATGACACTCCTTTCTGGGGGAAAAACACAAAAAAAAAAATGCTCTGAGGCTACAGATAGGCTAGGAGTGGACATGAACTGATGATTTAAATGTTCTACAACCCCTTGACAGAAATTGTAGCAAAGCCATAAAATCTGTCCTTGAATACAATCTCAGCTCAAGTGATTCTTTTCTCCCCCCCCCCTTATACTTTTAAATGCACGTATTAGGCTAACAATGAATGGTGGCAGGTGACAAGCACCTACGGGATGTAACCTTCCTGCAGTATTTTAGCCGTGGCTTGCTGTACTCATTGGACACGTTTTAATTCAAGTGTAGTTAACACAAAGATGAGTCCTGCAATCATTCTTGTCCTTTGGGTGACAAGGGACTTTGTCCCTGGACAAAAAGCGAAAGTTGAAAGGACCTTTTTGGTTCCGGTTGAGGGGGTAGCTTTGACGGGATCAAAAGGTGCCTTTGTATGGGAAACTACCAAGAGATCACGTTTCTCCAAGGAGAAATCATATGCCCGTGAGTGGGAGCAAGAACGGCAGTCCTGCTCCAATCGCACCTGTAGCCTCGCCTTCCATCCTTTCAAGAGGCCACGAGAGGGAGCTCGCACCCAGACTTAAGGTGCAGCTTCGCCTCTGCCCGGCTCGGCTTTGGAAGAACCGAAGCAAGTTTCAGTCTTGGACAAGTCTCCTCTCCGTAGGAAACATTAACGCTAGAGTTTCCTGAACCGCCCCGCCTGTTGCATATTTTTCATTCGCCTCCTACCAACGTGCCGCCCGCCCCCACCCTCCGCTCCCCACCCTCGACCTCTGGCTGTGGTCTGGGGATAAGCGACCCTTAAATGGCCAAGTCCGCTTACCTTCGGCAGATGTGGACGGGGTCTCCCGGCAGCGCGGGGCCCCAACGAGGAGGTGGAGAGTTCGAGAAAACTGCTCCGCACAGGGGGCCCGGCCGCGCCGTCCCCCGCAGGGCTCCCCGCGCCCCGGGCACGGGGCCCCCCGCGCTCCAACAGGCTGCGGCCCCGCGCTGGTCCCCCGCCCAGCGCCGCGAGGACACGCCCGCCCTCGGGGAACGCCGGACGCTCCGGGCAGCCCCGCACCGCGGAAGGCAGATCCACGCGCGACAGGCACTCTCGCGGACCCCGAGT